TACCGATATTCCGCCAACCTCCATTTGATGTGATCGTGTAGGCTCAATCCATCCAACCTCCAACACATTGTTTGTCTAAAATACCTAATAAGAAACATAAACACTAGACAAACAATATTAGGAATTATTTGTAATCATCAAAACAAGATTAGAAGATATAGGCTCATAACATGAGACCTAACAATCTCCCCCTTTTTTATGATGACAAACAATCTACACAAAGAGTATATAAGTTATACAATAAAGCATAATACTCTTAAAATATACTCACAAACCACTTGTTTCTCCCCCTTTGGCAACATCAAAAATGGGGAAACAAAATAGTAAGAGAGCGAAAGCTCCCCCTATCATAAAGCATAGGTGAGTATAACACATAGTATAGGGATTGCTCCCCCTATCAAATTGCTATATAGAATATATGCAATTATGAACATGACAAACAAATGTGAGCAATATATGAAATGAATGCTAAGGCAAAAACATGTGAGTAGGCATAAATGAAAGATATGCTAAACATAACTCACATACAAACATAAATAGGTGTCTCAAAATACAAGCCTAAAAACCATGTATAAAAAATAGATTTATGAAATCAAAAGAGAGAAAACATGAGAATCATGCAAAAAGAGTTTTCGAATGAAAACAAATCAACCAAATGAAGTCATAAATCAACCATTTAAACCAAAAATGATGTTTGATCAATAAAGGAAGTTTTCTTTGTAGAACTTGATCAAACCACATATAGAATACATTATAAAGCATATTTGAAATTTGAATCAATTTTTGCTTATATAATGAATTCAAAATAACAAATCAAAGCAAAATTTTCATAGTTCAAAAGTAACATACAAGAATCATGAACTATGGATTTGAAGAACTAAAAATCATCTTTGATTTTCAAAAATCAAGAGAGGCAACTATATCTGGCTCTTGAGCTAGTATTAGCCCATATAAATATTTTTGCACCCGGTAAACATAATTTGGGAATAAACACCCAATAAACTTGGGGGTTTACATAAATATAAACCTCTCATGAAAATTAAAACTCACAGTCATGAAAACAAAAGAATTTTATCAAAGAAAGTTTGTTTTCACATAAAAATTTTTCAAAGCTCATTTTACAAAACCAAAAAAAATAAAAACACTAAAATTCTTGGTTTAAAATTATTTTGGCACCCAAGAATTCTTGGTGCCGGATTGGTTAGGGACATGACCCCTATCATTCAAGCTCAAAGTCCTAGGGTTATGAACCCTCTTGGACATATATGGTGCACGGGATCAGTCATAGCAATAATTACTCAAATAACCCTTCCGATTACAATATGTACAATGGAAGGGATACATTTGTTTATGTTGACCATGTGGATGTGCACGGGAATCATTTGCAAATAAGGATGGTCTTTTAAATTCATTTTGCAAATAAGAAACATTCTTAAACAATGGTCTATTTGGAACATATTGCAACTTAGAAGATTTTTGCATATCATAACAAAATTTTGCAAGATGTCCAAACCTACCACAAACATTACATTTAAACACTTGTGGTCTACTAGAAACATTCGGCAAACTAGATTTTCTTTTCAAATCAAAACAATACTTGGCCAAATGACCAAAACGACCACAAAGATCACATTGATACACATGAGCATCCTTATGATGTACTTTATGTGCATGTGTGTGTATATGTGATGAAGAGACTTGATGAGATGCACAATGAGCATTAGCAATTTTATTCTTGTGTGCATCATAGCAAAATTTAGATAAATGACCTTTTCGGCCACAAATAGAGTATTTGTAAACTTTGCTATATATGTGTGCATAATGAGTGGATGATTTTGATTTAGACTTGGCACACATATTCATAAGTTTCTTATGATTATCAAAGCATATTTTTAAAGTTGAATCTAAAGATGAAATGTATTTTTTTCATAAGATTCAAGTCTTCATTTTTAGGCACATATGCACTTTTAGAAGTAGAACATAAATAGTCATTTATAAAGGAGGCAGTATCATTTTGTATGTTCTCTACTTCTAATATGGCATTGTTCTTAGCATGAGATAAGCTAGAAATGGATGATGTCAATTTTTTATTTTCCAAATTTAATAAGTCATTGTTTTCTTTAAGCATAGTATTTTCTTTTGCAATGACATCAAATTTGGAACCTAGCAACTCATGATCGGATTTCAAAT